AACTTCTACGGGCAATTTCCAAGCACAAAGTTTACCTAAGATCAAAGATATAAATGCTGATGAAGTTGAGCAAGTGGATTCTGTAGGTACTCAACTATCTGAAGTGATTATGGATGATGCTAATATTCTTGAAAATGGAAATGACAAAGCTACACTGGATACTGACCCCAGTAAATTAGTGGAAGGAAAGAGGCTGGAGCTGATTAAACCTTCCAGTGATGGAAATGCTGGTCCTGAGTTGGTTAAAGGGAGTAGAAAGTTACAGATGCGAGGAAGATGGAGAGGGATTGACCCAATATTATTTTACCACGAGGAGACAACAGTGGGTCAGATAAAGGCCTTCTATGGCATTAAGGAATCCTTTCCATTCAAAGGTCATTTGATTGTGAGGAATACTGATATCGACCATGTGAAAAGAGTTTATTATGTATCTAAATCTGTGAAAGAAGTTCTTAAACTCAATTTTGTAGCTGGTGAGCAGCTCAAGATCGCTGCTGTTGGGCTCAAGATGTTTGTAAGTCACTCAAATTTGACACTTGAGATTTCTGTTTTGAGCTCATGTCATTCTATAGATTCATGTGCATGTGTTTGAACATCCATCTTTTACGAAGTTTTCTTCAGAAAGAACTTCGCATCCTACATCACCCAACCCCCAGAAAGGAAAGGAGGTACAGGAAAAAGCAAGACTGTCAAACCCTCTTAAAAAAAAGTAGCTGTTATAGGAGGGCACCACTTGAATGACCCTTTATGTCATTCTTTCCCCTGACCTCCATCCATTGGACTATTAGATAACCTTTCCATCTTCTCTTTTCAATGTTGCAGGAGCGGCAAAAAGATGTTTCTACAGAATGTGTATTCCGCATAACATCTGAAGGAGTACCATTACTGCTGCCACATATTACCAAACAAATAGTGTATGCATCTCCTGTAGATTTCAAGCTTCTTTTGCAGTACAAGAGCATTAAATTTGGTGATTTTGTGGATGCTGAATTTGGGAAAAAGGCTTCAAAGCTGCAGTTTGGTTGTTGTGTAGTGATTTTGAATAAAGGTTAGTTGTGATCTGGTATCTTCATTTGAGTAAACACCACTTGTTTGTTTCTCTCGTAAAATTTTCTCTCCATTTCCTTAGACAATAAGACCTTGCCGGAACCTCAAGTGGATGCATCCACTATCGCTATAGGATGCTGGAGAGGCCGGAATAGCATCACAGTGATGGTGATTGCACTTGATATACAAGAACTTCTAGAAAGGATGTTGACGTATTCGGAGGAGGATTCTGATTCCTTATTGCTGGAAAACAAGCCATTGATTGCTGCTTGAGCAGATTAAGCTAAATTGAAAATATACAATTGAGACAAGTTACAGGTAAACTAACAATTTTGGAAGCTGTAATATGTGTACCTCTACAAGGAAATTTGTAACATTTTGATGTTTTATTAGTTGGTTTCTTCTGTTTTAGACAATTTCTACAACTATAGATTTCAGATGAAATTTGTATTTATTGTAATCAAAATATTGATGGATCAATACTCTCAACATTAGTCCACTTCAACATAATTATAGTTTTTACCTGTTCATTTTATTTCAAAATAACTGGTGTTTCACGTAATCAAGAAGAGTTTTATCCTTGTTTAAATGAAGCGAGTTTTACATCTCGATGTCTAATTGTTTAAGGGACATAGATTTTCGATTCCCCTTTTCATTAACCAGTGTTAAGTAAAATCAATTCTGATCCAATACGTGGAAGGAACCCTAACCCTTCATTCTATTTCATACAGCCTTGGTAGGACATCTAGTAAATTGATGTTTTTAAACCTTTCCCATAATATTAAATAACATTGTGTAGTGTTAAATCTTCTATATAATCCTGCATAGAGAGGTAATTAAACATGCATAACATAGTTGTTGTTATAATCTATTGACTCATAAATATGCTTAACGTTATTTTTTTAAAATTAAATACACCTCTAAACAATTAAAAAGGTCCAACTCTCACACTCACCATGGAAAATTTATGGGGAAATTTTGACCCCTTCTCTAATTTCTAACATTGTCAATATATTCCTTATTTAATTATTTAATTATTGGATTTAGTCATCTCACTAATAATCGGTTCATTCGATACCAAATATTTCTTATTAATTTAGATTTACATAGACTTTTTTTTCAATGGTTTTTTAAATTTTAATTATCAAAAATAATTTCGTATTTAAAACTCGAAGATATTTAGAATAAAAATATCTCGCTCGATCAAAAATTTGATGGTATATTCGATGTTTTATTCTCTCAGCACAAAATAACAACGGTCAAATTATTCCAATATTTTTATAAATATTTCAAGGTTAAATTATTCCAATAATTTTATAAAAATTTCAACATGAAAATAGTACTCTTGGGTCAAGTCTAAACTTATTCAATTCATCATTTACATATATATATATATATATATATATATATATATATATATATATTATTATTTA